GGAATTAATGGAATGGAATAGAAATGGAATAGGAATGGAATAGGAATGGAATAGGAATAGGAATTAATGGAATGGAATGGAATGGAATGGAATAGAAATAGAATAGGAATAGGAATTAGTGGAGTGGAGTGGAATGGAATGGAATGGGATAGAATTGGAATAGGAATTGGAACTGGAATTGGAATAGGGAGTGGAGTGGAATCTGGAAGGGACCTTGGAGGTCTTCTAGTCCAACCCATTATACCATTTCAGATAAATGATTGTCTAGTTTCTTCTTAAAAACCTCTAGTGATGGAGAGGCCACGATTTTTGCAGGCAAGGTGTTCCACTGCTTGACTGTCCTCATTGTTAGGAAGTTTCTCCTTAATTCCAGGTTGCTTCTCTCTTTGATTATTTAAAAATTTTGTTTACTTGTTCAATAAAGCCACAGTCTCCATTTGATCGATACCACAGAGGGGAACTTGCTAATTCTTGTGCCTTACCTCCACAAGCATCTTCTTTTCACGTGTCGTCTTTCCTAAAGGTCTGATGCGACCCGTTTCCGTTGGCACCAAACAGCTCCTTTCGACAAGCAGCAAACCTGGGCTATTGACAATGTCTACATAGGCGACGGCTGTATAGATATGTGCAGCGGGCATGGAAGATGCACGGAAGGAAACTGCGTGTAAGTATTAACCCCACTGAGAGAGACAGAGTGACTACGGGTATCTCCTTGACTTACAACAGTTCATTTAGTGACTGTTCAAAGTTGCAACATCGCTGAAAAAAGTGACTAACGACCATATCTCACAAGTGACTTTTTTTTCAGTGCCGTTGTATCTTCAAATGATCAATAAATGAACTGAGGACTACCTGTAAGGTGGACCAGACCGCCCCCTTAAATATCACAAAGAAATGGACAACACAGGTAGTTCTTGACTTACAATCATACATTTGGCAACCATTACAATGGCACTGAAAAAAGTGACCTATGTCCGTTTTTCACACTTAGCGACCGTTGCAGCATCCCTGTGGTCACATGATCAAAATTCAGCCACTTGGCAACTGCTTCATATTTATGATGGTCGCAGTCTCCCGGGGTCACATGATCCCCTTTTGTGGCCTTTTGACAAGCAAAGTCAATGGAGAAGCTACTTAACAACAGTGTTACTGAACAGCTGCAACAATTCACTTAACCACTGTGGCAAGAAGGATCGTAAGATGAGGCAAAATTCTCTTAAAAACTGTCTTAAAAACATAAATTTTGGGCTCCATTGTGGTAGTCAGTCAAGGATTACCTGTGCATGATTTTCATTTAGGATATAACCAGGGGTGGGATTCTACCAGTTCAGCTTGGTTCGAGAGAACCGGTAGCTCCAATGATCGGCTGGCAGCAAAATGGTTCGGTTTGATCCGGCGATCAGCTGTTGTGCCCAGTCATCCACCCGGGGCTCTAGGCTGTGCTTTATATCCTGTTTTTCAAACTCAGCTGATTGACGTGGCACAGTGGATTGCCACACATCAGCTGTTTTAACACCCAGGGTTTGCTGGAGAAGGTCAGTAGCAAATGCTCTGCATGTGTGTGAAGCGCATACTCACCGAACCAGTTGTTGCACCGGTAGAACCACACCCCTGTATCAGGATTCCGGTAGAACCACACCCCTGTATCAGGATTCCGGCAGTTACCCCCATTTCAATCATGAGTCTCAAGCCAAATTTTCAAAACTTAAAAAGGATTTATTGGGAGTTAACCTGTCCGGCACTGCCTAGGTGTAGCAGACTCTGAGACACATAATTCATTGTCACCCTTGACCCTGGATTTCTCCCACCCTCTGGGTGTATCCTAATTCATATTCTCCAATGGGACACCTCCATAGCCAAGAGTCATCAATCATGCTCTCCAGTTAGAATTTTGCATGGCAGAAACTTCAGTCACCTAATTACTACCTTTGAAAAACTATGTATGGAATGCACTTTCGCTTTCCAAGCTGCCGCACTGCTCTTTCAAACCCTTTCCCCCCCTCCCTTTCTGTTGGCAACTCTAAAAAGACCATAGAAATAGTTTATAAGTTGACACCCTGGATATAACCACTTCAGTTGGCTTCTTCTCGGAATTCAAACTAAGCAGCTCCCCTGTTCGAATAAATCTCTCTCTGTCTCCTCTCAAAACCAAATCTCCCCCAACCCTGAATGTCGGTTAATGAAGTGGAACAAATTCTGAGCAGTCACAAAATCAATAAGACAACTCATGAAAATAATGGGTTGCATTATTTTGCCATCTTCAGCGCTTGGCCAATTTTTCAACTAGAGTGATAATCTAAAGCTATCATTAATATCAATTATCATCGAGGCAATGGTAGCTCTGATGACAGCATCTAGATCAGTATCACCACTCATCTCACCGTTAGGAAAAAAAAACCATGGTTACTAATTCCTGGTGCATTATTATTTCGCCAACATCTGTAAAGATAGATAATAGAGCCACTTTTATAACGCAACGATTAAAGGGGATTTTACAAGTGTACGGTTTATACAAGTAGTGGATTAGTGCACCGATTATATGTGGATTTTTTAAAAAAATGTATTTTCCCTGGTTTTGGTGGAACTGGATTGAAGAGGTCTAATGTACCAAATTCATTTCTATTTAGATTTTTTAAAACACATCCTTCCTCCAGGTTCGTTTAGATGCTATTACAGTTGTGGTGTAACTGAAACTACTGTCCATGGAGATTCTCCATCATCCAGGGCATAGTTGTCCCTCTTTTTCAAGAGACAACTGGACTTTCTTGTTTTTCTTTAAAGTTGTTTCGCTTCTCAGAAGCTTCTCGGATGAGAAACTGAAGAAGCTTCTCGAATGAGAAGCGAAACATCATCTCCAAAGAAAAACCAGAAAGTCCAGTTACCTCTTGAAAAAGCACCTCTGGGATTACTTGGGAAGGTTTAAATAACCTGTTCAGTTAACGTTAGGGGACGTGCATGTTCTTTTAAAAATACCAGATAATACAAAAATGCAAAATTTGATAGAAGCACATTAATCCATTTTTGTGATTTTTCACCTACTTCTTTATTTGATTCACTTGTTTTCTTTTGCCAACTGCTTGTAAAACTTGGAGTCCGAACAAATTCATTGACCTACAGTGTTTATAGTGGAATAATAGTAATAATAATGGCAACTATTATTATTAGCAAAGAATACAATTAAAGAATGTAACTTGCTTTGTATGTTCTCCTAGAATTACATAGACTTTCCTCTATTTCCTCATAGAGTTACATATAAAACAGATTGTCAAGAAGACAAAACAACTTTTGATTCCATTTAAATATTTTGTCATACCACCTAAATTGTGATGGACCCAGAATCCCTCCACTCTCGTTTGTTTTAGGGAAACAGTTGAACCTTTTCCTTTACTCACAGTTTTTCACTTAAAATATTAGAAAAAGATCATTTTATCTATAAAATAATGACGGGCAAAAAAATAAAAGTAAGTCAGATATTAAAAATCAAGCCAGAAACAGGGAAAAGAACCAGTGAAAATATTCAAGTACCAGTGGAAATATTTTATTATGTAGAAACCCCAACTCATTTTAAATAACATCTTTTATCCAGGGCACTGTGCAAGCCAGCTAAAACCTGTTAGATTGATGTCACTAGAGAGGATTTTTGCGTGCCAAGTTTAATATTTTATATTTAGTGGTATAATTTACAAATCTGGCAAATATATATATATATCTTGGGAAGTTGCCATTTTGTAGTTTCTTATTATTATGACTCAGTGAGCTCTCCCCAGAGTCTTGTTGTAAATCACAGTTCCGAAAATATTTCAGAAAAAAGCTCCGTTAAGAGTATTTATTGTATTTTGCTCTACAGCTGATGCTTTTACTTTGTGAATTCTCAAATCTGGCTTCTAACTGCAATTTTTAAAATCTGCTGCACCATATTCACATTTTTTCTGAAGGCCTTTAATTTAGCTTCTTGTATAATTGTCACTTCCAACAGCTCATCTGCTGTTGGAAGTGATGTTAACTTTATTTGCCAATTTTTGGGTGTCGAAATCCTGCCAACATTGCTTTGTTCTTCCTTAACCACCTGCAATCGACTGCTAATTTCAGGTGCCCATTTTCTTTCCCTAATTTTCTTAATTTCCACACCACATCTTCTACCAGCTCATCATGACTGGAGCTTGGCAGCCCCAAGGTAGTACTGCCAACAACTTACTTTAAAAGTACAATTTCACAGAACAGTACTGGAAGTTTGCAACCAACTTCCATCACAGTTAGTGGGTCAGTCGTTAGTAACTGAGTTTAAACATGCTTTGGATAAACACATGTCCATCATCTGACCAAAAAAAAAAAGAAATGCATAAATTAAAAAGAAAAACTCAAAAGGTGGACTTGATGGACTGCTAGGTTATTTCCTGCCATTGGTTTTCTATGTTTCCATGAATATAGAACCATAGGGCTGGAAGAGGACTTTGGAGGTCTTCTTCCCAGTCAAATGGTTGTCCAGTCTCTTTTTATAAACCTCCAGTGATGGAGCACCCAGAATTCCAAGAGGCAGACTTGATTGATTGCTCTCACTGTCAGAAAATTTCTCCTTACTTCTAATTTGGGTCTCTCCTTAATAAGCTTCTACCCTTTGCTGCTTGTCCATGCATTGGAGAAGAAGTCCATTCTCTCCAGGAAAGACCTCAATTATCAGAAGAAGGCTATCATGTCCGTCTGTCCTCCGACCCTTCTCTTTGATAGTCTGGGCATACCTAGTTCCCCCAATCATTCATATACAAATATGAAGCCAAGATTGACTCACAAAGCACCCCTTTCTTCTCACAACTTGACAAAGAAGCTAAGGGAATGGGGCCGGGTAGGTTTGGAACATGTGGGAAGCTGGGAGGGAGAAAAGGAATCTATGTGAGCCGTTGGCAGCCTGAAAAGATCTCACAGCCCCAAGGTCAGAAGCTGGAAACTTTCTAAAGGTGCAGACTGTCTCCCAAAATAAAATGCCTAGCTTGGATTGGTGAACAGTGGACACTGGGCTGAGAAAGGAATTGGGGGGGGGGGTTCACTATGCTGTGTTTTGCACCCAAACCTCAAAATTGGCTTCACTTCCTTCTGCGCCTGTATGGATCTGTCAGTAAAATTTTACTCTTGGTAATAAAAATATCCCAGGAGTTTCTTTTGCTGGGCATGCAAATGGGACGGTCGACATTAAACTGTTTTAGGGTTTCTCCCTCTTTCTACCCAAGTCATTTGATTTTAGTTGAGGTTTAAACATATCCACCCCCCCCATATTAAATCAATATTGCAAAAGGAAAGAAAACATTTTCTTTTGCACCATTCAGTCATTTTCAACAGTGGCTTCCGGCTTAACCATGCTGAGTGAAACCCATTCATCTTGATGAAACGCTTAAAGATGGGGTGCTTGATTTTAATTGGGTTCTCTTGTCTCCTGTTCTTTACAGGTGCGATGAAAACTGGAGCGGCTTATACTGCGACGAGCCAGATGTCTCCCTCCCCACCCAACTGAAAGACAATTTCAACCGTGCCCCATCCAGCCAGAACTGGCTAACCGTCAACGGGGGCAAACTAAGCACCGTCTGTGGTGCGGTGGCTTCTGGGATGGTTCTTCATTTTAGCGGGGTTAGTATTTGGATTTCGGGCATGTTGGTCATCTCCAGCAGGCCTTTTCTGGTGGCTCTTTTCCCCGTCGCTGCGTTTTCTTTCTTTGGTTTATGTTTTTGGAATTGTCTTTGCCTTGCTGTAAATATGATTTGTTGGACCTGGGTGGGCATAGAAAAGCAACGTATTTTAAAATATTTCCTTTAAAAAAGAAAGGAAGCATTAAGATATTAACCCAACGTAATTGAAAAATAATGATTCAAACTTGCAAACTTCTTGGACTATATTGAGCAGGTCTTTTCATATAGAAAGCCAGTTTGGTCCATTGGTTAAGGCACCAGGATAAAAAGCAGGAGATGAGTTCTAGTCCCGTCTTATCCAAGAAAGCCAGCTGGATGACTTTGGGCCAATCACCAGGAGACTGTGAGT